ACCATGTGAATGTTTTGTAGATCTTGTCCACATCACCATGTGAATGTTTTGTAGATCTTGCCCACATTACCATGTGAATGTTTTGTAGATCTTGCCCACATCACCATGTGAATGTTTTGTAGATCTTGCCCACATCACCATGTGAATGTTTTGTATATCTTGCTCATATAACCATGTGAATGTTTTGTAGATCTTGCCCATATAACCATGTGAATGTTTTGTAGATCTTGCCCACATCACCATGTGAATGTTTTGTAGATCTTGCCCAAGTTTAAAGCTACTTAGGATAAACGAATGTAGTTTCGTGTTACTATTTGAAGTCATTCTAGGAAGAAAAAAATGTAACTTAAATTTATTTAGATTTTTTTTTATGGTTACAAGGTCAGTCAAATTGACCAACCTTGTATAGAGTTACGGTAGAGAAAATAACCAAGATAAAATTGTACTGAAACGAACATTTGAAATGTATTTCAGAGATTACACAAATCAAATCTGAGATTTTTTAAAATGAAGAAAAGTATTTTTAATATTAACATCACTTTGCACACGGACTGTTCAAAACAAATATTCAATATGTTCTTGGACAAAACTTTTTTTACTTTATTTAAAGTACTTCACTAAAATATATGACTTTTTTGTATGTGAAAAATTTATAATGTTTACCGAACGACTGCCAAATGTTATGAATATATACATAATATATTAAACGTTAGAAGTATCTAATCTATAAAGACTTTATACAAGTACAAGGAGGTCACGTCATCGGCCAAATCGACCAAGCCCGTGTTGAGAGAGTTAATTAGCTTAGATTTAATATGAAATATCACAGTTATCTTATGTTTGTATATTGTGCTAGGTTCAGTGGTAAGTCTGAGGACCTATGATGCTAAAAACCGGGTTTTGATACCTGCAGTAGTCAAAGCACAAAGAGACCATTGTGTATATTTTTGCTAAACAGCCAACAAACATGGTGTTGATAATATTTAGCCATGATTCACCGAGTAATTAACCATGATCAAGGTTTAACATTTACAATTTTGAGCATATTACTATTAAATTACTTATTATTTACATGGAATTAACTTTCGCTGTTTTTGCAGTACGTATGTTTTCGGGAATGATAGTTCCACCTAAATAAAAAGCCTTTATGAGTGATAATGATAAATGAAACCCAAACAGATATATACAGGCAAGTATTATTTAGCACATTTGTGAAACACAGCACAATGTAAATGACATGCGTGAGTTGATTATAAAACAATAAGTCTTTTTATACACAACCATCAATGGTAATGATAATCATTGGAAACCTGATTGGATCAGTTCACATTGTTTACTAATTACCTCATGGGTTTTAATAAGCCAATGTGCGTGGATTGGTTTCAAAATGGCCATCCAGGTGTCAATGTCCACGTGCTGGTTCTCCATACAAATTTATGTAATGGAAAATTGATGTATTTACAATTTCATTTTTCCACTAAGGTTAAAACCTGTGAATATTAAGTAAACTACATACTTTTATATTTGACTCTTTATTGTACAACAACTTTTATTCTGGAACAAAGCCCTTATAAAGTTTTATTATTAATGTGTTTGTACTTTTCAGTGTCACAATATGAAATCTTGTTTTTTTCCAGGTCCACTAGTTTTCGGTTAACCAGGTCGATATATAGCAACACGAGCTCAGTTGGAACTTCTCTTTCTGCTCATCCTCTCTTGCCGGTCAGTGACAGCATGTTAAACGAATTTCCAAAAGGAGAGGAAACACCAACAAAAGCAGTATATCTCTCCCAGCCATTGTCTTCCTACGTCAACCATCAAGACTGTGAACCAGTTGTAACTAACGGAGCTTTGTATGGAGAAGTAGATATGAAAGCCAGTCAAACAGGTGTGGAAACTTACCATTTACTGTGCTCTTCGTGGCCCGTTAACTACCACTGAACAATGCTTATAAATAATGAAAAGTTCTTCAGGAACAATCGGGCATTTACGTTTGACACTAAAATAAATTTGAACCATCTTGGAATCTTTTGCTTTTTTAAACTTGTGCCAAAAAACTTCCCACTCATCAACGTACCTAATCCATTCTATTTGTTCTGGTAAAACTGTTCTAATGTTTTAAATTAAACAAGATTGCTACTGAAAATTTTGTCATAGATATCGATATAAGTTACAGTTTTTGGTAAGTGTATAAAATAGAACTTGTTTGTTATTGTAAAGCTCCTGAAACAATTATATACATGTTATAAGATGAAAAAATAACCTCTTTAATTTCTAACTGCTTTTCACTAGATCTGATTCGTATTAAAACTTTGCAGCTTCTTTAAGGCTTAAAATCATTTAAAAGTTTACCGAGGTGGATCAAACTAAAGACACAAAAATTCCATAAATCATTTCGGTTGAAACTTGGAAAGGTATACAAAGTATAGATGCTGACGTTGGTCTAGTTTTTATTTTTCAAATTCTTACATCTTCTTTAGTTTTTTAGCTAATTTCTTTGATAAATATTATAACTCAAGTTTGTATTGAAAATAGCTGTATTCAGTGTTCCAGAATTACAGTGTGTGTTTAGTAAAGGCTCATCCATATTGCATACGAGTGAATAACTTAGAAGTACTGTAATCAAATGGGAGTATACACATCAGCAGCAAGCAACATTACTTTGAGAAGATTTTCGTTTCATTAAAATAGAACCTGTCTCTTTTTCTTTCTTTTTCCTCTTCGTGGAACTTAAAGGAAACTGACCAATCAAAATAACCTGGACTATAGTAATAAATATGGTGGGTATATAACACTTAACAGCTACAAAGTAACAATAATAATGTTCCATTTCAGGATACTTTAAAATCTTAATAAACAAAAAGAATTGAAGAAGGCATTTGTACAGAAACTCAAAAAGAGACTGCAATAACTTTTAATTAAGTTGTTTTAGTTAGTTGAAAATATCAGATCAGCTATATGCTACTACTATTTGAAGGTCAGTGTAGTTATTGAAACATGACCTGGTTTGTAGTGGGACAGCCTGCCTCTGGTATGTCCAATATGAATGCATGAGCAGGGTCATGTATTTATTTTCAATCTTTTATAATATTTCCAATTTGCATCTGTTATGGATTTACATGTGATGACTTTTCTCACATACAGTGTTGATGAGCCTTAAGTATTAAACATCTATAATACATGCTCATGTAGACTGGCAATTTCTGATAATATCTAAACTATCTTTCCATGTATAGCTAGCACAAATGAATAGGATGAAGTGACTTATTTCTGTCTTCTACATTACATTTTCTAGCTACAGAACCTTCTTCAGTGCACCAGTCACCTGTAACAGAGGCTCCAAGCCCTACGAGTCGAGCCAGTAGCACCTTTCGTAGTGAAGGCTCTGTGTCTCTTAGGGGACCATCAAGTGATGATGAGGTGACAAGGTCTCCTACTTCTCCACTACGAAGCTTAAAGGACCAACCAAGCAGTCTTAGCTCCCCGAGGTCAGAAGGAGACTCCGATCTCAGACGAAAGGTATCATTAGTGTTTAATACAACAAATTCTAAGTTTATTTCTGACAACTCTATCACATTTTAAGAAGATGACTTTTATTTATCAATAAGTATATTTAAATCTATCAGACAGGCCTTTAGAGAATTTTATTTATTAATTGGCAGATCATTTTACATGCTCAAGAAAAATCCCTAGTGTGAATATAGTAAAACAAACTGATATCTTGTGAAAGTGACACTGATAGTGTAAACTTTTAAAATAGTTTAATGTTAAGATAAATGAGTTTTGTGATAACTATAAAAATCATATATAAGTATATATATATATATATATATATTGTGTTTTTTTCCCTAAATATCAAGTACATGGTTTACGTAACAGCAGACATTCAATTATAATTAACTAACTACTACTATTCACACTATTATAAGTTGTAAATAACTTGAGAAACATGGAGCTCATGTTACACTGTTAAATTACCTTACCCATGAGCTGCTCCTGTGTATGCCTTGTGAAACTATTTTTATTATATTATTATTTATTTTACTTAATATAACCAGAACTAACCTAGAGATTCCT